GGGGAAAGAGGGAATCCCAGACATGAAAGAGCAAATATATGAAATGTCTAGAATAGTCACATTCATAAAGAAATAAAATTAATCAAAGAATAAATATTTCTTAATAAGTAAAAGCACTTCTATTTGGAATAATGTCAAAGTCTTCAAAATAGACAAAATAAAGATGTATTAACAATAACTGTTATCTGGAATGCAGAAGTCAGAACAAAGAAGGACTAGTAAAATATGACTCTGGAGACAGAAATGAGCTGGAGAGTATATGGTGGAAAGTTCTACAGTCACTGATACATTCATTTATAGTATCTTTTTTAAAAATGTAAATGATAATTACGGACTGGATTTCACTTGATAGGATACACAGGAATCAAAGTGACTGTATTAGTGTAAAGAGACACAGAAGCAGCTCAATATTGTTGTTATTGTTTGATGCTATCGAATTGTAGATGACTCATAGCAACCCTATGAATGAATGGCCTGAGCACTGTTCCTACATAGAGTTTCTGGAGGCAAGCCATTTTGGAAGTGGATGTCGCTCCTGCTTCCAGGCTTGATTTAGTCGGGAAGCTCCAGCCAACACTGTCCACCATGGATATCCTTTACCACGACTGGCACATCACACAGCTCAATATTAGCAGTCAAAATAAAGCAGATGGCCAATTCTGAAACAGATTATCAATTACTCACAAGTTCTAAAGAACCAAAATACAACCTTGAGTTTATCCAAGCCAAATTTTAAAAACATACCAAGAATAGACACGATGCACTGAACACTAATGACTGAAGACAAGATGAATTTTGGACTACCATCAAGGACATTATACATGAAGGAAATAAAGGTCATTAAAAATACTGGAAAATACAAAAATTTATATGAAAAGAGACTCTGAAAGTAACACTTTAACAATATGAAGCTAAAGCAATAGACAAAAACGATAAATTAAGACATCTGAACAGAAGATTTCAAAAGACAGCTTAAAAAAACAAACAAAATGTAATGTGAAAAAAAAATGCAATGTTGCAAAGACTTCAAATTAAAAAACTCAGCATTTTGAAAGTTAAAATAGCTGAGAAAAAAATCAAGCCTCAACTTGTAGTACCAATGAATTCTACAGGCAAAATACTGAATGATGCAGGATGTATCAAAAGAAAATAGATGAAATAGTCACTTTACCAAACAGAAATGGTTCATGTTGATATATTTCAGGAAGTAGCATAATATGATCAAGAAGTAATAGTACTTAAGAAATCTAAGCTATACTGAAAGTACTGGTAAACAAATAAGGCATCAGAAATGGAGAGAATATCAAGTGAGCTGTTTCAAGAAACAGATGAATCATTTGCTCATGCCAAGAAATATGAAAGAGAGGTACCTGGCCAACCAACTGTAAGTAATCCAGATTTGTTTCCACTTGAAAAAAAAAAACAAAAACCATGCACACCCATATTTATCATGGCTTTGTTCACAATAAGGAGGACTTGGAAACAACCTAAGTGCCCATCAACAAACGAATGGATAGAGAAGCTGTGGTATATTCACACAATGGAATACTATGCTGCCTTGAAAAACAAGGAACTTATGCAATATTATTCAAAATGGATGACCTTGGAGGACATTATGCTGAGTAAAATATCTCAGTCACAAAAGGACAAACATGACATAGTGCCACTGTTATAAAATAGGACTGACATCGGGGCTGGGGGAAGATTGACAAAGATGGGATAAATAATGTACACTGCATTGAAACAGATGAGGGAGAAAACTGTCTAAAAGAGATATGTGATTAGGTATTATTGTCATCACAGGAGTCCAGAATAAAGGCTGCGTAGTGGAGTGGACTTGAGGGGAGGGATTGTATAACAATGAAAAACTTTTACTTTTCAAAGAGAAGAGCAAATTGGGGGCAGGGTGGGGTGGGCAGGGAGAAAAGTGCAACAATGAATGAATGGAAATCCTCAGTCTCTTTAACTTTCATTAAAATTAATAATAATAAAAATATTTTTTTTAAAAACTCAACACATGATCCAACAGACTAGGGATATCATCAAACAGTATCACTAATATTACATGCAAATAAACTCTTGCTGAAGATTATTTAAAAATAATTGGAACAGTAAAACAACAAGGAACCAATAAAAGTTCAAGCTGTAGTCAGAAGAGGTCATGAAATGAAGGATACGATTGTTGATGTCAGATGGATCTTAGTTGAGAACAGAAAATACCACAAAGATACATGTGTTTTATTAACAACATCAAGGTATTAGCCTGTGTGGATCATACAATTATGACTAACACTGAGTAGCTCTGTGGCACCGTGGTCCTTACCACTATGGAAAGGGTATGGTATGGGTTGTGCTGTCAAGCCAAAATTCAGCTGCTCCACAGAAGAAAAATGGAAAATTTTCTCCTACATGATTTACTTCCTCTGAAAACCCACCAGAAGGTTAGCTACGGTTCAGTTACAACTTGACAGTATACAACAACAACAAGAATAGGAATTCAAGCAAGAACACTACTTAGTCATGCTCTTGTGAAATCCATACATTGACCATGAAAAGTAAAAAAAGAAAAAGAACAAGGAGATAGTGCATGGTTTAATATCAAGAATTATGTGCTTCATGGTTGTATCTTTTCACCATACCCATTCAATCTACTTCTGAGCAAATAATTTGGACAACAAAGAAGAACGTGACTCAGCATTAGAGGAAGACTCATTAACAATCAAGTAATTTAATAGTTTTTCACTAAATATAGGAATTACATATTTTACCAAAGTTTTGAGTAAAACTAAAAAACAGTAACAGTTCCATGAGGACCTCATATGTATCACAATAAACCTGTCTATATTTTCCTAGAAGTAGATACCCATGCCTTTCTTTCAAAGTGCCTCAAGGTGGATGACAAACTCCAATCTCAGTGTTAGTGTTGCTACTGTTGTAAGGTACTGTCTAGTTCATTCTGATTTACAGCAACTCTGTTTAACAAAAAACAAAACACTTTATTGTCCTGCGCCATCTTAACAATCACTCCAATGTTTGAGCCCACTGTTCTACTCACTCCACCAACTCATCTCACTGAGGGTCTCCTTTTCAAACTCTCTACTGTACCCAGCATGTTCTTAGCCATGAACTATTCCCTCCTGACAACATATCCAAAACACAAAAGATGAAGTCTCAGCATCCTCATTTTTAAGAAGTATTCTGACTATACTTCTCCAAAATAATTAGTTTATTCTTTTCCAGGCTGTGGTATAGTCAATATTTTTCAACAACACTAAATTCTAATACATTAACTCTTTAATCTTCCTCCACTTATTGCCCACCTTTTACACGCATAAATGGCACCTGGAAATACCATGGTTTGGGTCAGGCAGACATTAGTTTTCAAAGTGGCACCTTTGCTTTTGAACAATCTAAGAAGGAATTCTGCAGCACATTTGACTAATGCAATATGTTTACTTCTTGGTTGCTGCTACCATGAGTGTTAATTATGAATCCAATCAGGAGGAAGATGAGCTACCTCCTCCCATGCAATTTACAGCCTCTTAAAACTAACTGGAGAGTTAGCTATGAGTCAATTCTGACTTGATGGCACATATTAACACTACTAAAAATTTTCAAGTAAGTCCTCTTCAACTTCAATGTCATTTTTATTATACACAATTGTAGAATAAAAAGATCAACAGAATAAATTAGCACAAGCCTCCCTCTTATCAAATGATATTACTAATTACAACCACTTGCATCATTTACGAAGAGCTAAGTATATGTAGGGTGTAATTCTAGGTACTTTGTTCACATTATTTCATTTACAGACATTCCCTAGGATATGAAAGTACAGCTTATGAACAACTCATACTAGTCCTTTAAATGTTCTGCAAATTTGCCCTCATGTTTAAAAAGTGAACCAAACTCTACTGGTAATAAATTGTTCATCACAATCATCTTCACTTGTGCATACATAGCTTTTAAATCACTGAAAGCCTTCTAATCTTTTCTTGCAGTAAAGTCAGGCTAAATAAGAACCATATGCACCTGTTCTGATCCACCTACATATTCTGCTTAAAAACACAAATAGGAGCATATCTCATCAGCAAATTGGAGACTGCCTCTACCATACTCAATAAGCTTATGAGATAGGGGTAATGTCATCATTTTATAGATGTGAGATTAAAAGATCAGCAAAGCAATTTCCCCATATCAAACATCTTTTTAAGGCTGGGTAAGTCTTCCATTTTATTACAAAAATGAAGATTAAACATCTTTTTTAAAAGTGAAAGTCATATGGTTCCAAAGTCCAAATCTTTAACCTTGACTTAATATTGCTATACATTTTTATTACCATAATTAAATTACTGAAAACTGTATTTACTGAGAGAGACATATTTTAGCTTCATATAAAAAACTTGGATATTAAACACATTGACAATTAATATGTCATAGTATACATTTCCTAAATAAAAGAAACCACTTTCCAAAGGTAGCACTGGTTTGCAAAATCTTTCCTTGTAGTAAATAGCTAAAAATAAGATTTTTTTAAAATTCATTTTCTTCTTAAAATAGTTTAGAAAGCTAAAACTAAACTTAAATTTTAAAGAGTATGAATGAAGAGGAAAAAATGTTTGGGTATACAAATGAATCAATGCATTTGCTTTTCTATTGTACGTCTACAGGCAGTATATTATCATTCCACAACCTGTAAGTATTATCTTTTTAAGAAACAACTTCTGGCATTACAAGCTTAAAAATTTGTGTAGTTTACAAAACTCATACAAATCCAGTATCACTAACAAATATGCAGTTTGTACTTTGAAAATTATCTGTTTACTCTTCACTTTCTTCTCAAGCTATGCATACTGGTATTCAGTTATCTAGCTTAGTCACATACTGTTCTTAAATATTGGAACCTTTCAGTATATCCGTAGAAATCATTTTTTAAAAATGTAAAAAAAAAATGTAAACTGTGAAAAACAGTTTTCAAATAAACATAAAATATAGCTTACCATTTTGATGCCTGTGGAAAATGTCACTGGTTTTACGGGCTTGGGGTTCTCAAGTTGCATTTCCAACTGAGTAGATCGATCTTTATGTTGAGCCAAAAGTAGAGCAACAGGGAGATCAGAACTCTCCTGTTAACAAAAAGTAAAGTTCAACATAAACATTAAAAAATGAGTGAGTCTTTTATTCTAAATTATTCCTTTCCCAGAAGCACTTGAAGTCAAACCAAATAATCACTTTATGAAGAATGCTTACAGAAAATATTTGCATTCTATAATAAGAAAGGGCTGTTGTAGTCTCATAAATCAAAATAACCTGCAAACAAGTATTTTTATAAAATCCACATTAAAGACAATATAATAGGGACCTATTTCATCTGGCAAAGCCAATCCAGTTTTATTAAATTTTTTTTTTAAAAAATTAAAAGCTAATCACAAAAAGAGTAGTACAAAGTAATATAACTTCTATCAGATGTTGATCTAAGAAACATACTTTTTACCAGTGAATTCAGACCAATTTGAAATTATTTCTCATTAGATTTCACCTGAGGCCATTTGGAAATGATCCTTGTTAGGTTTTGCACAATGAAACTACTGTAAGTAAAATATGTTTATTTTTTCTCCTTTACTAACTTGGTTTTAAAAAATTAAATTTCAGTTTTTAATTAAATAACAAAATTATAACTAAACAATTAAAAAAATTTATATAGATATTAAATCAAGGCATAGAGCTATATCTGCAAACACATACTTATTAATAACACAGGCAAATTATTGGCCACATAATTTTTTTTTCCTAATAATTTTTATATGTACATGGTTATTTATCCTGTTTAACAAGCAGTCAGTCCTTTTGCATGTTTACAGCGCTGTGAAGATCTAAATTGAATGATATCAACACATTTTCCTTTATGAGTTATCAGCTAAGAAAAAAAAACAGGAACATGCAGGAAAAGGCCAAGATGGAAGGAAATGATACACATAGAGGAGAGAGCAAGCAATTTATCTGTAAACAACTAAGAAGTGAAACAAATTCCTATATCCTAAACCACAATGATCTGCAAAAATAAACATACTGTTCAAAAGGCCTACAGATTTAAAAAAAAAACAACCAACCTAGCAATAATAAGTGGTTCACTACTGTCAAGTCAGAAACAACTCGTAATCGCCATTGCATTGGATTTCCAAGGCTACCAACTGCATGGGAGGAGACTGCCCGTCTTTCTCGATCAGAGCCACTGATGGATTTAATCACAAGTGAGGAGTGGCATCTGAGTTAGCAATGCAACACTCTTCAGACTAATCTACCAGAGCTCCCTGGTGGATCACAGTATGAAACAAACAGCAGATTTTAACTTTCTTCCCATCTCCAACAACTAAGTAATATTGTTAAGCATAAATATGACTAACTAAACTTGAAGGAATTGTTTTAAGGTTATGATGCAGAAATAATTAAAACACCAATTAAGCAAGTATCCTAAAATAAAGCTGCACCTCAATTTTCAAACAGGAACGATTTGCAAGAACAATATTAGAAAAATGAAAGGGAAGAACATACATTTTCTTTTAAAAAAGCACAACCTCAATAAGACATAAAATCACTAAGACCTGGTTTTAGCAGTAATAATGGAGAACTGATGAAATATGATGAGATATACGTGACCGTTTTTCATACTTAACAATAAATCATCAGGAATACATTAATAACACTAGCAATGCTGTAAATTGCTACAGTTTTTCTAGATTTTCATTAAGATTTTTACAAGAAAATATAATATTTAAAGATATCTTAAATTACCTGTCACTAAAAATATCTTTCAAGGGCTATTCTTTCATAGGGAGAAGCTAAGAAAAGAAAAATACATTTCTTTGGCTAAAAATAGGAAGATAAAGCTTATTTCACATCTTCTAATGAATTCACATGCTGAACCACAGCTGGAATTTATTCTAACAAGTAAAAGTTCTTATTAAAAAGTAAGGCAATATGAAAACTCAAAAGTTTCTAGTCTAAACACTAACTTACTTAGATCTAGGCTTCAGGCTAACCAACAAAAAAAAAAAAGATGTAAAACCTACTTGAATAAACATTCTAGAAATCTACAACTAATTTTAATACTAAAGCACAGACTTTACTTCAAACTTGCCTTATTCTACTGTAGCACTCAAAACTTTAGAGTCTTAGAAACCTTAGTGAGTCTTTTGCTAGAACGAAGCAGGAGCTATACCATCAACAACAAAAACAGATGGAATGAAATAAACTATATGAAATAAATATACTCTGAGATATTCATAAAATGCATGTTCAGAATTTGCAGGTTATTTCATGCTTCTAGCTTCCATTTTACCTGGAAAGGTTCCTTAGGTTACATTAATTGCCTGAAGGCCTACTGCTTAATATTTGAAGACATTTTAATAAGACTGCCTGTAATTCTCATTAAAAGCTTTATAATGGCCATTTTTAAAGTTTATTTCAATTGACTTGAAGCAAGCCATCTGGCAAACAATAATTCTAATAAAAATCAGCTACTGGGTTTGACAATAATATTAACCCACACAAAATTTAAGACATAAACTGGAGAGAATTTTCAAACAGGAATATAAAAATATTTAGTAAATCAGAAACAATTTCAAAATCTTTATCCAAACTGCCAAAAAAAATTTAATTTACAGTTAGGATTAAATAAATGGACATTTTAGGAAATATTATGGCAGATGGTAAGCCATAAACATTAAGACTAACATTAGAATTCTGTTATGTATAGCATAATGCAATGCCAATGTTTTTTAAAAGGTTACAGACTGACTTGTCACAAGGGTCAAACCCAAAAACAGCAGGGAAAAAAAGAGTAGTTGTTGTTGCCTCTAATAGCCTCACAGAGTTATTCTAACATTTAAGCCTCTAGATATATTACACAATATTAATGTTATTTTTCAAATATTATCTAACATATGAGCATATACAGGAAAATAAATATGTGTACTCTTCATTATTCTTTCAATTAGTAAGTAGAATTAAGTGAATGCTAACATTTGCAACTAAATAAATTTTAATAAAGGTTCAAAAATTAAAGTAGCTAAAAGTCTTTTAAAAACTTTAAATGGAAACTAGAAATTCATATTGCAGTGGTATTCTAAACTAATCTGATATAATTAATTGTACTAATGAATACAGTAAATAACTAAAAATTATTTAACCACAATACATAAGGAAAGTATGTTCAGTAATGACTTGCAGGTGAAGAAAACAGGAAGGAGGGAGACTCACAAAAACCATTATTAACTCCAGATTATGCACAAGGTATAGCACTCACAACTCCACATCTTGCTTCATGCCCCACTGAAAGAAGGGGAGCTTCATGCCTGCAGCAGTTCAGTGAGGCAGCAAAATTTGGTACTTTGAGGACTAGAGGGATACGCAACAATAACTACTACGCAGTTAGCTAAACTCAAAGTCTAAAAAGCCTCGTATAGGTGGAATATTAAATGTTAAAAGTATCACCATTGGAATATGTTTGGAATTTGATTCAATTAATTATATACAGAAAGCATTACTGAAAAAGGTAGATTCTTCTGTATAAAATGGTGAAAAGAGTTTTAGGGAAAAAAATGTAACATTAACATTTAATAGTACACTTTTCTTAAATGTTTCATTCTCATCAACTGTATGCCTACAAAAATGTAAAACACGGACATATGTGCCTTTGGAACCATTACAGCCATACCTGAAACTTAACAGTTTCAAGACAGAACTAAGGAAAGTGACTAAGGAAAATATTATTCTATTTATCCATGGTTATCCATTTTAAAGGCAAAATTTACATTTCACTCACAGAAGACAGGTTTTATAATTGGCATTTTATAAGATTCATTAACTTAAATACTTTATTTTTCCTTTATATTCTCAATTAATTTAAGTAATTATACTTTCTTTATTATCTGGCTAAATGTTTCTTTGGGCAAAATCATACCAGAAAAACAAACACATACATGTCATCAAAGAATAAAATCATGTAAGTAGGGGAACTAAGTGTCTTTTTATTAAAGGAATGTCTCATGAAAATTAAGTATCTGGGACAGAAAGAATTAAAATACAATCACTCAGAGCGAAGGATTTTTCTAGTGTGATCTCATCAATATCATACAAAGTTGTTAAGTATTAAATATATTGTTGTGATGTGCTGTTGAGTCACCTGCAACTCATTGCAACCCTATGTACAACAGCTCTAAAGCCTGCCCTGTCCTGAATCCAGTCTCTTTGACTACAACACACCTAATCCCATGACTCCAATTACTGAGTCAATCCATCTCATCCAGGATCTTCCTCTTGTGTGCTGACCCTCCACCTTTCTTAGCATGATGTCTTTCTCCAAGGATCAGTCCCTCGTGGCCACATGCCCAAAGTATGTAAGACAGAGCTTCAAAATCCTAGCCTCCAAGGATAAACTTGGTTTCATCCTTTCCAAGACAGACCTATTTGTTTTCTTGGCAGTCCACACATGGTATGTTCAAGACTCTTCTCCAGTACAACTCAAAGGCATCATTTCTTCTTCTGTCATCCTTAGTTATTGTCCAGCTCTCTGATGCACAGCAAGTAACTGCAATGACCATAGCCTTGATCAGGTGCACCACAGTCTCTAGACTGGCATTGTTGCTTCTACAGGATCAAGTATTATTATTACACACTGTTAACTACTTGAGAAAATTTATTTTTGGGATACAGCAATATCCTGCCATTTTCTCCAACCATATTACATTTTCATAAAAAATATATAGTTATAAGGGCTTAAAGATTAGAGGAAGACTCATCAACAAACTGCATTAATGCAGATTACATAACCTTGCTCATCAAAAGTAAGGAGGAGAGGGAGCTCTGGTGGCCTCAAGGCAAGAAGCTGCATATCAATCCCAAAGGCGCAGGGTTTGACTTCACCAGATGTCCTGCTGGAGAAAGAGAGACAATCTCCCCCCATGTTGGATCCGATTCAATGGTACACAGCAAGGGAAAAAAAGAGAGAAAGAGAAACCAAAACAACAACAGAGGAGGACTTGAAGCCATTGCTGCAGAAGATTAAGGACTGCAGCCTTCAGTATAGATTGTATCTCAACATCAAAAACACAAATATTCTCACCACTGGGCCAATAGGCAACATCATGATAGATGGAGAAAAGGCTGAAGATGTTAAATCTAATTTGTTAAATAGATTCCATTTTGCTCAGATACACTACCAACACCCTAGGCAACAGCAGTTAGGAAATCCAAAGACAAGTTAAACTAGAAGAATGTGCTGTCAAGGACCTCTCTACAGTGATAAGGAGCAATGATGTCAATTTAAAGACTAAGGTGCACCTGATCAAAGCCATGGTCTACTCAATTGCATGCCATGCATCTGAGAACTGAACAATTACTAAAGGTGATAAAAGAATCTATGCCTTTGAGCTGTGGTTGCTGGAGAAGTGTATGGAACATATGAAGGATTGCCAAGAGAACAAACAAGTCTGTTCTGGAGGGGGTAAAATCAGGTTGATCCTTGGAAGCAAGGATTGTGAAACTCTGTCTCCCATACTTTGGGCATGTTGCCAGGAGAGATCAGTCATTGAGGAAGGCTATCATGCTTGGAAAGGTCGAGGGTCGCGCAACAGAGATAGACCCTGGATAGGCAGTGTCTGAAAGGGTGTAGCAATCTGCTTCTGTTAAAATTACAGTCAAAAAAAACCCACTGGAGATGGACAGTGACTGTGACAATGGGGTCAGGTGTATCAGAGATGGTGAGGTTGGCTCAGAATAGGGTGCGGTTCTGAACTCAGGGTTGATATGAGTCGTAAACTTTATGGCACCTTACAACAACAGAAATAAAGAACTCAGTCTCCAAAACTTCAGCGTACAACAAAAACACCTGAAAATGTGCTATAAGAAAACAAGTATTAATTAAAGTACTGAAAAAATATTATGTTACAGTCAGCAAACTTAGAAATATATAAGCAACCTATTAAATGTTATACTGATTTATGTCAGTTGTAATGATACTCGCTCATGTGAAAATACAGGTAGCATTTAAAAGTTTTAAAAAGAAGACAAAAATTTTAAGTAAAAATACAACAAACCAAAAAAAAAAAATACAGCAAACCTCCTTTTTACATTATCCTTTGATGTCAAGCAACAAGTTCTTGGATACGAACAGTGTCATATCTTAGGGAACTCTGATGGCGTAATCTGTAGGGAGTCGTATTGCTAATACAAAGATGGCAGTACCTCTCTAGCAGTTTGAATTCACCAGAAGCTCTCAGGAAAAGAGATGAGCAATCTCCTCTCATGCAATTTACAGCCTCTTTAAACCTGCTGAAGGTTCAGCTATGAGTTGGTTTCAATTCAAAGGCAAAGGGTTTGAGTTTTGACTGCCGTACCTTAAGGGTAATCGCTTCCTTTGCAGAAATTTTAAGTAAGGACCCAAGTATGTGGGCAAGACAAATGTACAATTAAATCATTTTCATAAATTCTGTGACTGAGCTCACCTTAAATTCCTCAGTGGTACAAGTGGTTTGTGCTCAGCTTCTAAATTTAAAGGTTAGCAGTTTCCGTGCCACTGAAGAAAGGGCACAGCAATCTGCTTCTGTTAATAAATCACAACCCAGAAAACCCAATGGAGCAGTTCTCCTCAGAGTTACCATGGATGAGAATCAAGTCAATGGCAACAAACTCGTTTTTGGTTACAGTTTAAGAACCAAATGAATTTACATTATGCAAAATTCTGGGGGAAAAAAATACCATTTTCCCCAGATAAATCCCATGTAGATTAAAGATGGCCACGCATTTTTCTGTAATCTTCCCATTAAGAAGTGATGGACAATCAAACATTGTGTGTATTGCAATTAAAAATGCAGAATAGGACATGCATGACTGACTAACTAGGGGTAAAGAAAGCTAAGGAAAGGTTTACACAGAGACAGAAACAATCATGGATCACTGACAGTGATGAGAGGGGAGGAAGAAGAGAATAGAGATTAGTAGAGAGATGAGTCGAGTGAAGAGAAAGACAAGATATAATGAGGATTTAATGAGACATTGTAATAAATGGCACTGTTCAATTGGAATTAATGTTATTAAAGCAGTCTATGTATGACTGAATGAAAACCAATTTAAAGAAAACAAGACATGAGATCTATATTATTTCCCCGTGAAAATGAGCTACACCAACAGGACATGATGAAAAATGATGCTGTGCCAAATTCCAGATCTCATCTTGAAAGCAAACAGCTCTGCTTCCTTTCTCTTGGACTGCGCTTTCTTGTAGCCCTGAATGACCATGGAATTAAGTACAATTACACTGCTACAGAAACTACACGGAGACGTTCTTCAAGTATGCACAAAGAACAACCCAGTAAGCCCAGTAAACGCTAGAGAGATGACTGACATTTTTGGGGGCCTTGTAGACAACTTGGTCTTCTCCTCAAAATCATCGAGTATATCCCGATTAGACCACAGTGGAGCAGAAGAGTCATTCTAAGAGTCACTGAGACCATTCTAATTCTTAGCAACAAGAAACATTGGCAAAAATAAAACAATGATTTGTTGTCTAAGAGAAGAGAGGATAAATCACTTCTTCTTCAGCAACAGGCAACTGAAAGAGCTAGCAGAGCCAAAAATTAATCAAGGGACAAGTACTTAGAAACAGCATTGAGAAGCTTATTATCAAGCAGTAAGAAAAATAAACCCAGCAGAAGGACAGTGTTTGATATGTGTACATAGTTTCGCGGTGTTTTTTCAAATTAGTATTAATACCCACCAGTTCGTCTAAAAATGCCTGCTTATTCTTCCTTTTCAGAATCTGCTGCAGTTGTTCTTCTTTTTGTATAAAAAGTCGTCTTTGTTCGTTTTCCTGTCGTTCTACTTCCAAAGCTTCTTCCAATTCTTCCTGTTCTCGAGTCTAAAACAGAAATATTTATATGTGGCATGGATTAAATTTAGGATCAAATTCTTTTTTGGAAGCAAAAATACGCTAATCACTTTATGCTTAATACTGAAGGACATCCATTTTAAGAGTAACATTCCTTACTATAAAGCAAATACTTAAACAAAATATACTAGACCCAGCTGCAGAACTGTAGGGATTGTGCTGACTAATATGTTAGGCAAGAAGCTGCAATGCAATGTCAAAGGCACGCAGTTCGAGGCCACCTGCAATTTCCTCCTGTGTGATTAATCACCTTTGAAGACCCGCCAGAAGGTTAGCTATGGGTCGGTTCCAACTCGATGGTGCACAACATGTTAGGTTGTTGTTGTCGTTGTTATGTGCCATCGAGTTGCTTGCGACTCATAGTGACCCTATGTACAACAGCCCTCAACTCTGCTCTATCCTGTGCCAATGGCACCGTCTCCAACAACACCCATCCCGATTATCCCAGTCACTGAATCAATCCACCTCATAGGGGGCCTTCCCCTTCTGCGCTGTCCCTCCACCCTACCAAGCATGATGGCCCTCTCCAAGGATCTGTCCCTCCTTGCAACATGTCCAAAGTATGTTAGACAGAGCCTTAGAATCCTTGCCTCCAAGGAGCAGCCCGGTTTGACCCTTTCCAGGATGAATCTGTTTGTTTTCCTAGCAGTCCATAGTACCTTCAATATTCTTCTCCAGCACCACAGTTCAAAGGCATCAATTCTCCTTCTCTCCTCCTTAGTCACTGTCCAACTCTCTGATGTATAGCAAGTGATAGCAAAGACCATGGCCTTGTATCAGACGCACCTTAGTCTCCAAAGAGACACCATTGCTCTTCAGTACTTTGGAGAGGTCCCTAACAGCAGAATTTCCCATGGCAATACATCTTCTAATTTTAGCTGCTGGTGCTGAGAGTGTTGACTGTGGAGCCAAGCAAACTGAAGCTGTGAACAATCTCAATCTCTTCACCACGCATCCTGATGCTGCCAATTGGTCCAGTGGTGAGAATCTTTGTCTTCTTGACATTGAGCCTCAATCCATATTGGAGGCTGCAGTCCTTGACCCTCTGCAGCAAGCGCTTCAGGTCCTCCTCAGTTTCAGCAAGCAGGGTTGTGTCATTTGTGTATCACAGACTGTTGATAGATCTTCCACCAATCTTGACCCCACATTTCTCCTCATAGAACCCAGCCTCCCAGATAATCTGTTCTGCATACAAGTTGAAAAGGTATGGAGACAGGACACATATCCCTGGCGTACGCCCTCCCCAATTTTGAACCATGCAGTGTTTTCTTGCTCCGTTCTGACAACTGCCTCTTGGTCCAAGTATAGGTTTCTCATTAGCACAATCAAGTGTTCTGGTATTCCCATTCTTCTCAGAGTCAGCCACAGTTTGTTATGATCCACACAGTCAAATGCCTTTACATAGTCAATGAAACACGGACATTCCTCTGGTACTCCCTGCTTTCAGCTAAGATCCATCTAACATTAGCTATAATATCCCTAGTACCACAACTCCTTCTAAACCCAGCCTGGACTTCTGGCAGTTGCATTGATAATAATGGGTGACTGGAATGCCAAAGTTGGGAATAGAGAAGATTCAGTAGTTGGAAAACATGGACTCGGTGACAGAAATGGATCTGGAGAGAAGATGACTGAATTTTGCACAATCAATGACTTATTCATTGCAAATACGTTTTTTAAGAGACATAAACGCAGGTTATATAGATGGACTTCACCTGATAGTATGCATAGGAATCAGATTGATTACATCTGCAGAAATAACCGCTGGAGGTCAGTATCAGCTGTGAAAACTAGGCCAGAAGCTGATTGTGGAACAGACCACCAACTACTCATATGCAAGAACATGTCAGGTACTTATTTTTAATTATTGCAGACTATTTCAAGTCATTCATTTTAACAAGAATTTTTAAAATAATTTAAAAAATTACCACACAGACAATCTTCATATACAACTGTTGAGTGAAATGCTTCACTTAATAAACTGGAAAACTTATCACAATACTCAATCAAGCCTCTTTTTCCTAGTCTAAAATAAGTATTTATGAAACTAGCATTCCAAATAGTAATTATTTAAGCTAGGTTTTGAAAAGCTGCAGTCTTACTTTCTCATATATGCATGTATATTTCAAGAATGGTCCTTGTGTGTTGAAATGTGCAAAATGAAAGCTAATATACAGACAAAATGAAATACAAATCTACTCATTTCTCTTGCATAAAGTTCAAAGAAATATTAAATATTTCCAGGCTCTGAAATTCATCCTAGCTCTAACTTACACTTAAAAGTATCAATACTTTTCTTTGTTCTTTTTTTATTAAGGAGAAATAGAAGAAAATATGAATGCTTTAAAGTCTTCACTTTTTAAAAAACTTACAGACCACTGAGAATTTATGGAATTTAAAGGCAAATATAGAATGGACAAATATAGCTCAATAAGAGCTGAGCTGGAAGAGATTTTCTAAAAGTATATTTTTCATGTACATATTTAATATCCACAAGATTTTTTAATTCATACATCACTAAATTCTCTCAAACAAATCCCCGTTCAGAAAAGATGTTTCACTTTAAATATCTGTTCAAAATTAGGTTTATCATCTGGTTTCCTAAAGCTGACCATCTTCCTTTTTTTATTTTTTTTTATTTCTGCTAAGTGTGTACCAATCTCAGTTAAACGGAACCATCAGAATCATCTTCATTTACTTCCTATACCTCCAACTCTTCTTAAATTAAATCAGTTGCTAAGTCCTTTTAGAATTCCTCCCAATCATCTCACAAACATCTCTTCCTCTATTACTGAACTATTACTCTAGCTCAGACCTCCAGCAAAGAAAGGAATTTAAACTTGATCTAGAAGGATTAGTAAGGATAAATAAATACATAAAAGTAGGGATGGGTATATATGGGCTGCAAAATGAACCACTTGATTAAAGACCTAAAATTAAAAAAATGAAACCCTTAACAAAGCAGTGTTTATATAAACATTACATATAAAAGGGAAGAATACAACTGATAAGAGTGGTAAATTCCTCTTCTAGCACGCACAGCCATCAAGTCCATACTCATCATCTATCTCCTGATCTCCTAACTTGGTACAAAGGTTGTAGATTGTGGACCAAGTAAAACGAAGTCATTGAGAGTTTCAATCTTTCTTCATTTGTCATGAGGCTGCCTTTTGGTCCAGTGGTGAGAATTTGTTTTCTTGATGCTGAAATTTAATGCATAATGAATGTTGTATTCATTGACCTTCTGCAGCAAGTGCTTCAAGTCCTCCTCACGTTCAGCAATCAAGGTTGTGTCATATGAATAAGGAAAGTTACTAATGAGTTTTTCTCCACTCCTGATGTCACATTCTTTTTCTTCATAGATTGCAGCTTCTCCAATAATTTGCTTAGCATACAGACTGAATAGGTTTAAAGAAAGGATACAACCTTGATGCACATCTTTCTTACTTTTAAACCATGAGCTATACTGCAATCCCAAAGATACACAGTTCAAATCCACCAGTTGCTTTGAGGGACAAGAATGAGTAATCTCCTCCTATGAGATAAACTGCCTCTGGAAAGCCACAGGAGGTCGGCTATGGTTCAGTTCCAACTCTACAGTAAACAACAACAATGTACCCTTGCTCTGTTCACACAATGGCATCTTGGTCTAGAAGTAAATTTCACATTCTTCTCAATGTTAGCCATATAATTTGTTATCCACAAAGTTAATTGCCTTTGCAGTCAATAGAGCATATATAGACATTCTTCTGCCATTCTTTGCTTTCAACAAGGAGCCATCTGACAGCAGCAATGATATCCCTGGAGCAGTGGTTTCTTCTAAAGTCAACCTGAACATCTGGCACTTTTCTATGTACTATTCTAGCCACTTCTGAATGGCCTTCAACAATATCTTCCTTGCATGTGATATTAATGACACTATTAAAGAATTTCCACATTATGTTAGATGATCTTTCTTGGGAATGGAATGAAATATGGATCTCTTCCAGTCAGTTGGCCAGACAGCTGTCTTCTAAATTTCCTGTCATTGACACCCAGGGTACTTGAAACATGTCAATTGGTGTCCCAATAATACTTGGGGCCTTACATTTTTATCAATACCTACAATACAATGTGAGCTTCTTCCTTCATTACCATTGGCTCACAGATAATATGGTAATTCCAGAAATATTTCATTGATCATATGATAATTCCTGAAATATTTCAGTGTCAGCCAATGCTTTTTGGTACAGTAATTCCATATATTCCCTACATCTTTTTTGATGCTTCTGGATCATGCAAGATTTTGCCTTTATCATCTCTTTGTATTGCAAGTGGAGGCTTGAATTTGTTTCCTAGTTCTATCAGCTTGAGAAATGATGAGCAAAGTCCTCCTTTTTTATTCTCCAATTCCAATTCTCTGCACATTTCATTATAATAATTTGCTTTGTCTCCTCAAGTTGGCCTTTGAAATCGTCTGTTCAACTCTTTAACTTCAGCATCTCTTCCCTTTGGTTTGACTTCTCAATCCTGTAGTGCAATCTTTTAGAGTCTTTCATTACATCCATTTTGGCTTTTTCTTTCCTCTGTCTTCTTAGTGCCCTTTTGCTTTCTTCATGGATGGTATCCTTTCTTCATGGATGATGTCATTCCCCAACTCATTCTTAAGATAATTTTTAAATTCACATGAGGTAGACTCAGGATCACATTTTGGTTCTCGTGGACTTGTTTTCATTTTCTTCAGCTTCAATTTGAACTTCCGTTATTTTGCACATATTGAGCCTCAATAACACACACCACATAATATACATAGTAGCAGATGAAATGCCAGCAACTCATAAATAAATACTAATTTGTTAGGTAGTTAAGCAAATAAATAGAAAAACCATCATAGTTAGAAAACAAACACTGTAAGGAACAATAAAGAAAGTAGTTTGTTGTTGTTGTTGTTGTTGTTGTTACTGTTGTTACTGTTGTTGTTGTGTTCAACC